TTAGCCACGACCCCCTTCGAGAACGCTCGAGCAGGATCTCGGCCCTGACACGTGACCACCCCTTGCCCCCACCTGGGGGCCCTGTGTCGACTTTACCGGTCACGTGTCCTTCGGGGTCAACCAGAGTGCCATGACCCTTAGTAACCCCATTCCCATGGCCGGCACCCTTACACCCTATCCTGTAGGGGTCGGCACTGCACGCAGAGCGTGGTGCCATCCAGGACTGCCAGTCAGTGCTCACCGAGCCTCTCTAGGGCCAGTACTGCACCCACATATACGTGGTGCCCGTGATGTCAATACATCGCACACCGTGCCTCTATGGGGCTGGCATTACACAGTGACATCCGCGATGTCACTACATCACCCCCCTCCCCCCCTTCGTAGCACTCAGCCGTCCAGGCTGTCAACTCCCCCTTTAAAACGAACACAGTAACAAAGCGAATAGAGTGAGTAAAAAGTGAGTTAAAAGTGAGTAAAACCCCTACGTGTGCCTCAAAAATAACAATAAACAAATAAATACCCAAGCCCACTAATACAATATATACACTATCAACAAATTTACTGTAACAACGGGGAAAAGGGTAGAAGTACAGAACAACACGAGAGAAAAAAACTAAATGCAGTAAATGTGAACGCTCAGAACCCCATCCATCACCAACCTCTCCCACCCTCACTGTGTAACAACACCCGCATGCACAATAAAGACTAGGTTCTGCCAATAACCGATACGGCCTGCTGAGTGCAATAACCAACTGACGGTGTGGGAGTGTGTGTGTATGGGGGTCACGAAAACCGAATAATTTTTGATGGAGTCCTTGTGGCCGGTCCCCCAGGGGAGGTGGACTCGCTCTCCCTGGAGGTCCTGGGGGGAATATGCAAATGTCCCGTCCAACCCGGTTCCTCACGAAGAGTAGTCGGCCAGGTGAACGGGTTGTCCTCTCCCAAATCCCGTGGAGACAATGCAGGTGGCGCCTCAGAGGACGTTAGGCATGCAACACCTTCGGGTGCAGTGGAGCGAAAGACGGTCGGGCGGATGACGGCGGTGGTCCGGGGAGGCGTCGTTGCGGCAGCCCGAGGAGACATGCCGCGGCAGACTGCAGCAGTAGCACATGACGAGCCTGCTCCCAGGACGAGGAGATGCCTTCCGCCATCGCTGGTCTTCCGCCCGTCGCACCATGTCGTCCCCTCACCCGCATCCGCTCTGGGTCAATGCGCAGGCTGGGACGGGCTCCACATCTTCAGGTGTATCCGGCCCCTCACGGGGCGCGGTACACACCGCCAACGCCTTGTGCCGTTGCAAGAGCTGTTGAGCCTGGAGACATCTTACAATCTTGATGGACGAAAGATCGTCCTCTACAGCCGGCAGGACCATGTCAAGGTTCTTAGCCAAAGCCAGCAATCTCTCGAGGACCAGCGAGTCGACTCCGTCGTGGTCCATCCTCGGAAAGGCAGCCTTCGCTAGCACTAAAACTGCACTATGGAAGGCGAGGGGTGTCTCGGCTTCCCCTCTCATTCGCGTAGTGAACTTATGGCGCACGACAACGGCTCATAAATCGCCGCCATTTGGTCAAAGGTTTGAGTCAGCGTGGCCCTCTCCGTCGGGGGGGATGGTGAGAGATACTGCCAAGGTATCGTCATCAAGAGCGGCGGGCAGCGCTCTCAGCGCCTCCGCCTCCGTCCACCTCGCCAAGTCGGCGTTCGTCAGGAACTGCCGCTTGAAGGCCACCCAGTCGCCACTAACAGCTGTAAATTATTTTACGAGGGGCAGTCGTCGCCGGAGAGATGGGACATCCACCGGTGAACTCAACACAACTTCAGATTTGGCGGGCTCCGTGCTCCGCTCCTCCAACAAGATGGCGGCCGTGAGCATGGGCTGCGCCACGGAGGTTCCAGATTGATGGGAAATGGCGGCGGGAACTGCGTCCTCGTGCGGCTCCCCCGCTCTCTCGTCCACCGCTTACTCCTTGCGGTGGAGCTCAGCGACGATGGAAGCCGCGGCTTGTAAGAGCTCCGCGAGGCGGGAGTGCGCCGTCCGGCGCTCCTTCCCCGATGGCGGTGAACCGTCGCTCCGCCGAGAGCGCCTCGCCTCCCTCCTCCGGGGTCGCCATCCCTGGGGCTGTTTGAGGGATGAGGTCGTCGTCGTCTGACGTCCTGGTACGTAGTCTGCGTCGCACAGACATACTCTGCAATGGCTAATTTTACTAGAGAATGTTTGGCCACTTCCGACACCAGTTGTAGGGAGTTCAACTGAGTTACAGACGTACTCTTTGGAGGCAACACATATTTATTGCTACCAACATGAAGGGGTAACTGCCCCTTCACCAGATAACAACCTATGGTGATGGACCACCAGGCTAACTACACTGGGAGTAGCTACAACGGACAGGACCCCAGCTTGGGTCCAGGTCCACGTGTTGCTGACTCTTCTCGGACGTAAAACATAAATTCTTCAGGATAACCACAGCAGCCGGTCCCTCTCTGGGACCCGGCTTATATGCTCTGTGGTGTGGCTGGCTCCGCCCTTAGCCACGACCACCTTCGAGAATGCTCGAGCAGGATCTCGGCCCTGACACGTGACCACCCCTAGCCCCCACCTGGGGGCCCTGTGTCGACTTTGCTGGTCACGTGTCCTCTAGGGTCAACCAGAGTGCCATGGCCCTTAGTAACCCCATTCCTATGGCCGGCACTCTCACACCCTATCCTGTAGGGGTCGGCACTGCACGCAGAGCGTGGTGCCATCCAGGACTGCCAGTCAGTGCTCACCGAGTCCCTCTAGGGCCAGTACTGCACCCACATATACGTGGTGCCTATGATGTCAATACATTGCACACCGTGCCTCTCTCGGGCAGGCATTACACAGTGACATCCGCGATGTCACTACACATGCAGCTGGCGAAATCAAAAGCGGGATCCTGTGGGCGACGTTGTGTGCCACGGAATCTCCATGTATGACGTCTGTGGCTGGAAGCCTGGACCACAGATCGGACTTGATTTACACGGTTGGAAGCATGACTGATGTGATTCGTCATGGGGACGGTTCAGCTGATAGTTATGGTGTGCATACATCTGTAGTGGGTAAGGATGGAAACCAAGTCTTCTCTGGAGGCAACATGTTTATTTATAAGTGTAATACGAGGGTTCACCGACGGTCGCCGATCGGTGAGATAGGCTCCGCCGCTTCAGCCATCAGCCAATTAGATGGATGCGCCAAGTTCAAGGGCGGAGCTCAAGGGCTCTTGTGAGTAACCATCCAGAAGGTTGGTAAGGGGGTGTGGCTCTAGGCGGGGCTTTTTGACATAGGAGAAGGGATATATGGGGAAGAAGGAAGAGGCTCGGGGTCAGTGTATGGAGTCTAGAGGCGAGACCACGTCTCGCGCCTCCGGCATGCCAGCGGCCACGTGGCAAGCCGGAGGCTGTCTCCTTGTGCGCCTTCTGCCAGCAACGCACGGGAGCAGGGGGGGAGCGTGAGCGAGCTGTGCGCGGAACGAGAGTGGAGCGGTGTCGGTGTGAAGAGAACGTGTAGCTGTCCGGCCGACGGGGAATAAATAATAAAGAAGACACGAACTACAGATCGTTGTCGAAGTGCTTTATTACAACAGTAACACAAGGTCCCTGACACAAAGGGGTCTCGGCCCCTTCCACCCGATACCCTGGGGAGGTATAGCCTCCGGGCTAACGTGTCCTAATCACTGGGACCACTCTCTATATATCAGCCCTCTGGCTAGGGGGAGCTAGGGGAGGCTAGCCTGACCCGACCCAGCCTAGGCCCTCGGGTCCCGACCACTGGCCCATTTGGTCCCGGCCCTGACAAGGACTTTGGGTTCGGGGGTTCCCAGGGTCCTATTATGGCTGGTGTTCAGGTCTTCTGCTTGACTGCCGGTCCTATTCAGTAAACCGGCTTTATACCGTTTTCTGGCTTACTCCAACCCTAGATGTGGGCCAATATCTTTGACACCAAGACCTACTGTGGAGCTGATCTGCCTACTCGGCATATCATCTGTAAAATGCAGCTGCCATTATTCCACTGCGGTGGAGGGTGTCCACCTAGGGACCCCAGGCATGCTGAAGAGAGTCTTGCAGAGCCCTGTCGTTTCAGGCCATGGTGGTCCTGCACGGACACCATATTCTGTCTGCTACAGCAGTGGTATTGTGTCATCAAACACTCTACTGTCTCAACTCCCCATTGATGATGGGGCGTTTGTGGAGAGAGTAGATAGCTTTCCATACTTGGGCAGTGTGCTTATGACCAGCTCCGATTTGACGGCACAGGTCTCACTGCTAATCAGTTAAGCGACATTTTATCATCGGCTGCGTAACGCTGTGTGGAAGCTACCCGGTCTGTTGCTCCACACGAAGCTGCGGGTCTTCTTGGCCACAATCATGCACTGTCTTCTCTATGCTTGTGAAACGTGGACCCCCCTAATGGAACATCTGTGCTAGTTACAAATATTCAGGTTGGCCTGTCTATGATCCATCCTGGGTTTAACCAAGCTGGATTGTGTGAGGACCTTACAATTCCTTGAAAGATCTAGACAATCCCATCAGTGAGCTACTCCGGCAGGCAAGGCTGCATTGGCTCGAGCATGTAGCCTGCATGTCAAGAAACCGCATGCCCAAACACCTTTTGGTCAGCCGGATAGAGGGGGCTAAATGGGCACGACACAGGCTGGAGAAGAGATTTACTCTTGTGGTACAAGAGGATATGGAGTTGAGTGGACTTGCCGTTGACTGGTACCGACGGTGTATCGGCCTGTGGAGGAGGCTCATGAAGGACGCTACTGGGCAGTTGGAGGCAGTCGCCCTCACAACTGCGGAGGGCGGAGGAGCGATGCTCACAACAACGAGCAGAGCGCCGGGCAGATAAAACAGAGTTGTCACAGTAGGGGGCACAGGTGGCGCATTTGCCAGTCATCTAAGTCAGTCAACCCACGGCACTTGGGTCTGTCCTGTGACATGCCAGCAAGCCTTCGACACTTCAAGTGGCCTTACAGTGCACATGTCCTTGGCACAAGCGCCATGGTGTCATCACTGCCACTCAGTGGCAAATGGCGGTTGTTGTGTGCATCTCTATGAGTCCGTGTGCATTTATCCGAGTGTGTGTGTGTGTCTCTCTGACGTCGAACGCTCAATCCTCAGCACAGAGAGGATTTCTGTTCCCGCTCTCTGGGAGTTGACCAAGGATGAGGAGAAGCCACGATCACGAAACCACGCCATCACCTCTCCTACAATCACACAGACACGTGAACACATGGACAAACCGCAACGCAACCATATCATGCCATGAATACACAGCTATACAGCCATACAGACACACAGTCACATGGACACAGCCAATTAGACAGCAACATGGACACAGCTACACAGTGATATAGCCACAAGGATACACAGACACGCGGACTCAGAGTCACATGAACACACAGTCACATAGCCATAGTCACACAATCACACGATGTGGTGTGCGGTGTAATTCAAAGTAACCATGAGCATCTTTGTGGAGAATATAAATAACAAGACAGACAAGCAGATAATGTGTCTGCTTCACATATCCCTCTCTCCACGTAGAAAATAAAGGCATTTACACATCCCATCAACCTCACGGCCTCTGGAAGTGCATCATTTCAACAGCACCGCTTACACTCAGTGGTGTGTGGAATGATGCGGTGTGTGTGAGTGGTATGTGTGGGTGGTGTAAGTGGTGAGTATGTGTGTGTGGAGCGATGCGGCGAGTGGTGTGTGTGTGGTGTAATACGGTGAGTGGTCTGAGTGGTGTGATGCGGTGATTGTAAGTGGTGTGTGGGTGGTGAGTGTGAGCAGTGTGAGCGGTGTGTGTGTGTGGTGAGTCTGAGCTAGTGTGTGTGTGTGGTAAGCGGTGAATGTGTGGTGAGTGTGTGGTGAGTTAGTGGGTGTGAAGCGGTGTGTGAGTGCCATGCGGTGAATGTGTGTGGTGTGATGTGGTGAGTGTGTGTGGTGATCATATGGTGTGATGCTGTGAGTGTGAGCGGTGCATGTGAGCGGTGAGTGCGAGTGGTGTGACGCGGTGAGTGCGAGCGGTGTGTGTGTGTGGTGGGTCTAATGCGGTGAGTGTGTGGTGTGTGTGATGTGTGTGTGTGTAGTAATGCGGTGAGTGAGAGCAGTGAGTGAGTGTGAGCAGTGGGTGTGAGCAGTGTGTGTGGTGAGCTTTGACTATGTGTTTGGTGAGTGATGAGTGTGATGTGGTGAATGTGAGCGGTGAGTGTGATGGGTGAGTATTTGGTGAGTGTGTGGTGTATGTGTGTAGTAATGCGGTGAGTGAGAGCAGTGAGTGGGTATGAGCAGTGTGTGTAGTAGTGAGCAGTGAGTGTGAGCGGTGTGCCATGATCACCAGGGGCGTTGTGCTGCTGACAGAGAAGGTAGAACGCCCCCGTGTGGTGAGTGTGAGCAATGAGCGTGAGCTGTGAGTGTGTAGTGTTTGTGGTGAGCAGTGAGTGTAAGCGGTAAATGTGAGCGGTGAGTGAATGTGTTGATTGTGAGCGGTGTGTGTGTGTGGTGTGACGTGGTAAGTATGTGCGGTCAGTGCGAGTTGTGAGCGGGAGCGGCCAGTGTGAGCGGTGAGTGTGTGTCTGTGTGGTGTGACATGGTGAGTGTGAGCAGTGAGTGTGCGCAGTGTGTGTGTGTGTGTAGTGTGAGTGGTGTGTGTGTGAGCAGTGAGTGGTGAGCGGTGAGCGGTGTGCCATACTCACCGGGGGCGTTGTGCTGCTCACACACGAGGTAGAACGCCCCCGAGGGGGAGAGCAGCGATGCCACGAGGGGGAGGAGTCGGTCCACGACCTCGCGACCCCTCGCGCCACCCGCCCATGCGCTCGACACGTCCCCCAGCCCCACCTGCACACACAGTACACGCACAGAGTACACGCAGAGTAAACACACACAGAGGACACACACACATGCAGTAAACGCACAAAAACAGTGCACACACAGGTATAAAGAATCATACTTACACACAACTTACACACAACAACATGCGCCAAAAGTGTCGGTGCCAGGCTTGGTGCACTTTTAGGCCTACACGTGAAGTGTGGAAGGCTCGCCGACAGCTCACAGGACAGACCCAGGTGTTTTGGGTTGATGGCAGCACCTGTGCTCCTCACTCCGACACCTCGCCACGTTTTAGTTGCCCCAGCGTTTTGCTCGTTTCTGTGAGCATCCCTTCTCAGAATCATCAGAATCATCAGAATCTTTATTTATACTGCAGGAGGAATCCGATGAGCTATAAAGCTCTCTTTCACAGATGGTCCAGTAAGGGGCACGGGGTTGGAACGTTACAACATACACAATACACAAACACGAAATGAGTGCAAGGTAAGCAATTCACTCGAGAAATTACTAAAACTATTTAAATTTTACCACGTAAAGCCCACTGAGCTATTAGCGACCTAGCGACCTAGCGATCGCAAATGCAAGCTCAACGAAATGGCTTGTCACATAGGCTTATCACGATGGCATGGTTTTGTTTGTATTTGTATGTGTTTTGCGTGATTTGTTTACATTTATTGTACTTGGCACTACTATCGTGTTTTTCTGTGAAAAATATGTTTAGTCTGAATGGATATTCAGACTACACACTCCATAAAGCTATCACCCCAACCGTTGGGAAAGAACCATCTGAGGACCCAATCAAACCCATCACTTTGCCATACATAGCACGGGTCACCAAAAAGATTTCCAAAATCAAGACCAAACGAGATCCAGGTTCGATTTAACACAGTACATAAAATTCGTGATCTGATCCCATCTGTGACGGTCTGGCGGACTCCGTTGCAACTGCATTGTCAAGAGCGTGTCGCCAACCGATGGCGTTTAGTTCAACAGCCTGACTCTCTAATCATTCTTGAAATTAACATTTATTGAATGTCACCCCGGCCTGAAATCCTGGCTCCGCCCCTGGTGACAAATGTGATCCTTGACATGCAATACCCCGGCGTCTAACAAACTAAGCTGTGTCTGCGGCAGTAGTTACATTGGGGAAACTAAGCGACATGCCTTGGACCGTGTTCGTGAACATAAGGCAGATCTGAAACACGGTAGGACCAACACCTCGGTTGTGGCTGATCATTGTTTTAATGCGGTTGGTTCACACGAAATTGATTTCTCTAAGATGAAGTGTGCTTTGCAAACCCACTGGCTATCAACAAAGATTATTTCATGAAGCCATCCATATATACAGACCTAGACACAATTTCAACCAAGAAGATGGGTACAAACTCAGTAATCACTGGAAGGATGTATTCAACCAGTTTAAGTCATAACTGGCTGTAATGTTTCCATTTTAGACCTGGCAGCTCTTTAATTGGTAGAAGCCCACCACCAGCACCATCACTACCAACAACTACCATCACCTCTAGCAGCCCTTTGATTGGTGGAAGCCAACCACCAGGACCATTACTGCCCACTCCCTTTATTGGTGGAAGCCCACCACCAGCACCATCACTACCAACAACTACCTTCACCTCTAGCAGCTTCCCTTACATTAACATTAGCTACCCCGCCCATGCTGCTGACACTTGGGCTACACCCATTTTTAAACATTTATAAGCAGTTTGCCTTGAGAGGCTAATCCCCTTTTCCTGATGACGACCACTTGTGTTGCGATCGAAATGTCGTGGTTTTTTGTTATTTTCTTTGAACCTATCTACGTGACTTTACCGAAAGACCCAAAGAAAATTTATAAGAAGTTTATAGCTCAGATTCCTCCAGTATAAACAAATATTCTGATTCTGATCTTCCCACTGCTGGTACCGGTCATCAGCAAGTCCAATTGGCTCCAGTATAGTTGTGGAAATTCTTAACTAGGCATAACAGGGTGATTCGGGGGGCACCTCGCTGGATTCCGTGACGACGTAGGGAGGATTGAAGAGCAGGAGGTCGACGGAGCCGGAGAGACGTGGGAGGAGCGCGTGAACCTGGCAGTACGGTAACCACGACAACCACTGTGACCAACAAAAAATCACCTGGCCCCTCTGGCACCTAAAGCCTGGTCCCTCCGGCCCATAAGGCCTGGCCCCTCCGGCCCATAAGGCCTGGCCCCTCCGGTCCATAAGGCGTGGCCCCTCCGGCCCATAAGGCCTGGCCCCTCCGGCCCATAAGGCCTGGCCCCTCTGGCCCATAAGGCCTGGCCCCTCTGGCCCATAAGGCCTGGCCCCTCCGGTCCATAAGGCGTGGCCCCTCCGGCCCATAAGGCCTGGCCCCTCCGGCCCATAAGGCCTGGCCCCTCTGGCCCATAAGGCCTGGCCCCTCCGGCCCATAAGGCCTGGCCCCTCCGGCCCATAAGGCCTGGCCCCTCCGGCCCATAAGGCCTGGCCCCTCCGGCCCCTAAAATCTGGCCTCTCTAGCCCTTAAGGCCTAGCCCCTTCAGCCCCTAAGGCCTGGTCTATCTGTACCCTTTGTTCTGGTCTCTCTGACCCCTAAGGAGGAGCGGCCACTGCACATCACAGTCATAGGATGAGTGTAAGAATCACACAATACACATACTTCCCTCTTGGCGGTTTTCATTTGAAGGGACATATCGAAAGGGGCCCTTGTGTCTGCTCACTCATTCTGAGGCTCACCAGGTCGGTGATGATCGGCTGAAGCGTCACGTGGTTGAGCGAGGCCGTGACGCTTGTGCAGTGAGCAGCATCGTGATTGATGTCAGTGGTCCTGGAGGAGAAACCACGCAGCCACAGTGACGCACACAGCCACAGTGAAACACACACACAACCACATTAGAGCACGCAGCTACAGTGAAGCACACAAACACATTGAAGCACATAGCCAGCACAATGAAGCGGATAGCAACCACAGTGATGCACACATCCACACAGACACAGTGAACCACACAGCCACAGTGAAGCACACAGACACACAACCACAGCGAAGCACACAGCCACAGCGAAGCACACAGCCACACAATCACAGTGAAGCATGCAACCACAGTGAAGCACACAGCTTCACTGTGGCTGCTGCCTTCCCACTCATCTGTGGTTCCTCCTTCTCCTCCTCATGCCTCCGAGTGTGGATCTCTCTCTTCTCTCTCTCTATGAGCACGACGACTGTCCCAAGCTCTGCAGTCCTCTAAGTCTGAAGATATTTTCTCAGCCAATTAATGCCCAGTGAAAACCCACGTGCATATACACTGCTGCGCTACAAGGTGAGATTATCATCATCATCATCACTATTACAGTAGTCCCCCGATTAATGGTATTAGTTTATTCCACTAAAACTATCATTGATTGAAGTTATCGTTAATGGAACATAGAAAATGTACGTTAAAGGGCTTAATTTGTTCCAAGACGATCGTAAGTTGCCCTTTTTAACCCTAAACACATATCTTGTAATATTTAAACACTCAATTTTAATAAACAAACGTTATGAGAGCATATTAAAGCATTGCTATTAATAGAAACAAGGATAAATAATATAATGAACAAATGGTGTGTAAAAAGGTGCATAAATAGAGCATAGAATAAAACGATTCAAAAGCTTGCAGCCAGTCACTCTCAAAACGCTTATAAAAAAAGGGCGCTGCTGATAGTTGTCGGCTGCCAAGTCCACTTAGGAGCGCTCTGATTGGCTGAAATAGGCGGGTCTGCGTGATATCGTGAAACGTATCGTTAAATCCAAAATGTATCGTTAATAAAAACAATGGGACCCTATGGAGAGGCAGATCATTCGTTATCGAAACATCATTAAATCGATGGCATTGTAAACCAAGGGGACCCACTATAAGTTACTCTCAACCTGTGTCACAAGACAAGTCAAAGATCCCCCAGTGTAGCCTTAACAGACTGTTCGGGGCAAGTGCTGTTAGCGAGTAGCAGTGTCTATGAAGGCAAACAAGGCCAGCACCACGCCCGGACGCCTTTGTCTCCCCAGTAGCGATATTTACCACACACCAGTCCATCTAGGGGAGGCCCAGAAGTGGTTCAGATAATCGTCACTGGTGTTGGGCCGTGAGCGGGAATTAAACTCGGGTGGCTCGGTTCGTAGCAAAGCGGTAGTGCTAACCGCTGATGGTGGTGGCATTGTTGGTGATGGTGGTGTGGATGTTGGTGATATATGTGTTGGTGTTGGTGATGGTGCGGATATTGGTGATGTTGGTGATGGTGTTGATGATGGTGTCGATGTTGGTGGTGGTGTTGATGTTGATATAAGTGTTGGCGATGGTGGTGATGGCATTGTTGGTGATATTGTTGATGTTGGTGGTGTTGTTGGTAATGTTGGTGGTGATGGTGTTGATGTTGGTGGCGATGCAGGAGTCTCCTCACAGGTAGCTCGTTGTGGAGCCCAGAATAGAAGCAACAAAGCAGGAGATGACTCCGGACCCAGAGCCAACCTCCAGGCAAATCAGAGGCCTGACCCACAAAGACAAAGGGGAAAGTGCTGCTAGCGAGAACCGATTGGGTGGGTGATGATGTTTACACACCACCGCACCAGGTACTCATTTGAGGCTGAGTCAACCTAGAGGAGGAGGCCCAGGGCCGGTTCAGATGATCGTCACCGGTATTAGTGGTCATGAGCGGGTATCGAAATTGGATCGCCAGGTTCGCAACACAGTGTGCCACTGCTCCCACACACACAGCACACAGACAATACACACACACACACAGTATAATACACAGAAGACACACAGTACACACATACACAGTACATACAAAGTACACACAAGCAGGACACATAAATAGTGCACACAGTACATACACAGTACACATACATACAAAACAAAGATCCCTCATATAGCCTGTAACAGACTGTTGGGGCAAGCGCTGTTAGCGAGCACATATGAAGACCGGCATAGCATACGAGGGAGTGTGTGGCCAACACCACACCCGGCCGACTTTGGCTTCCTCTTGGCGATGTTTACACATTGCACCAGGTCCTCATTTGAGGCTGAGTCGACCTAGGGGATGCCCAGAACTGGTTCAGATAATTGGCCATGAGAAGGAGTCGAACCCGGATCACCAGGTTCGTAGCGCAGCGCGCTAACTGCTACACTACTGCTTCCCACTACATACATACAATACACACAAACACAGTATACACAATTCACACAGCACACACACTGTACACGTGCACACAGTATACACAGTACACGCACACAGTACACACATAGACAGTACACACATACAGTTCACACAGTACACACACAGTAGATACAGTACACAAACAGTTCACACAGTACACACACGGTACACACAGTACACATACATTATGCACACTACACACAGTAAACGTACACACAGTACACACACAGACAATACACACAACACACACAAAACACACAGTACACACAGACAGTAGACACACCGTACACACACAGAGTACAAACAGTACACACAGTACACACACAGACAGTACACATAGTACACACACAGACAGTACACATAGTACACACACAGACAGTACACATAGTACACACACAGGCAGTACACAAAGTACACACACAGACAGTACACATAGTACACACACAGACAGTACACATAGTACACACACAGACAGTACATAGTACACACACAGACAGTACACATAGTACACACACAGACAGTACACATAGTACACACACAGACAGTACACATAGTACACACACAGACAGTACACATAGTACACACACAGACAGTACACATAGTACACACACAGACAGTACACATAGTACACACACAGACAGTACACATAGCACACACACAGACAGTACACATAGTACACACACAGACAGTACACATAGCACACACACAAACAGTACACACAGTACACACACAGACAGTATACATAGTACACACACAGACAGTACATAGTACACACACAGACAGTACACATAGTACACACACAGACAGTACACATAGTACACACACAGACAGTACACATAGTACACACACAGACAGTACACATAGTACACACACAGACAGTACACATAGTACACACACAGACAGTACACATAGTACACACACAGACAGTACACATAGTACACAGACAGTACACAAAGTACACACACAGACAGTACACATAGTACACACAGACAGTACACATAGTACACACAGACAGTACACATAGTACACACACAGACAGTACACATAGTACACACACAGACAGTACACATAGTACACACACAGACAGTACACATAGTACACACACAGACAGTACACAGTACACACACAGACAGTACACATAGTACACCCACAGACAGTACACATAGTACACCCACAGACAGTACACATAGTACACCCACAGACAGTACACATAGTACACCCACAGACAGTACACATAGTACACATACAGACAGTACACATAGTACACACACAGACTGTACACATAGTACACACACAGACAGTACACATAGTACACACACAGACAGTACACAAAGTACACACACAGACAGCACACATAGTACACACACAGACAGTACACATAGCACACAGACAGTACACATAGTACACCCACAGACAGTACACATAGTACACCCACAGACAGTACACATAGTACACACACAGACAGTACACATAGTACACACACAGACAGTACACATAGTACACACACAGACAGTACATAGTACACACACAGACAGTACATAGTACACACACAGACAGTACACATAGCACACACACAGACAGTACACATAGCACACACACAGAGAGTACATAGTACACACACAGACAGTACACATAGTACACACACAGACAGTACACATAGTACACACACAGACAGTACACATAGTACACACACAGGCAGTACACATAGTACACACACAGACAGTACACATAGTACACACACAGACAGTACACATAGCACACACACACAGAGTACATAGTACACACACAGACAGTACACATAGTACACACACAGACAGTACACATAGTACACACACAGACAGTACACATAGTACACACACAGACAGTACACATAGTACACACACAGACAGTACACATAGTACACACACAGACAGTACACATAGTACACACACAGACAGTACACATAGTACACACACAGACAGTACACATAGTACACACACAGGCAGTACACATAGTACACACACAGACAGTACACATAGTACACACACAGACAGTACACATAGTACACACACAGACAGTACACATAGTACACACACAGACAGTACACACATACACCGTACACAGTGGAGGGGTACCGGCTGCTACGGAGTCGCTCTGCGTCGCCCTCCAGCGCCGCCATGAGCAGGAAGGAATCCTCACTGGGCTCGTAGACGCGGCCCTCCAAACCCTGCCACCTCGGCGTGGGCAGCATCGCGGCAGTAGCAGTGGAGAGAGACTGACCCTGCAGAGACACAGCAGCAGTGGAGAGAGTCTGACTCCGTAGAGACACAGCAGCAGTGGAGAGAGTCTGACTCTGCAGAGACACAGCAGCAGTGGAGAGAGCCTGACCCTACAGAGACACAGCAGCAGTGGGGAGAGCATGACCCTACAGACACATCAGCAGTAGAGAAAGCCTGACCCTACAGAGACACACCAGCAGTGGGGAGAGCCTGACCCTACAGACACATCAGCAGTGGAGAGAGCCTAACCCTGCAGACATAGCAGCAGTGGAGACAGCCTGACCCTGCAGACAAACAGCATCAGTGGAGAGAGCCTGATCCTGCAGACACAAAAGCAGTAGAGAGAACCTGACTCACACTATAGCCGATACAATTGAAGCCGGCATGGCACACGAGGAGTGGGTGGCCAGCACTACACTGCATCAGGTACCCATCAATGGCTGAGTCGACCTAGGGGAGGTCCAGGACCGGATCAGATACAGTATTCTTCGAATATTGGCTGAGTGGGAATTTAACTCGGATCGCAAGGTTCATAGCGCAGCACGCTAACCACTGCACCACTGCTCTCCTGATAAAGGGTGGCACGGTGGCTAGGATATGTTAATTCCTTAGCCAGGTATACAGGCGGTCGTAGGTTCAGTCCCGACCACGACACCTGCTGTATATTTGGAGTTTGCATGTTTCTCCCCGTGGTAATCCGGTTTTTCCCTCCGCATTAAGGATCAACATCACGCATTTAGAGTATTTGGCTGCTAGAAATGTCCACATGATGAGCCACTTCATTGAGATATCGTTTGTGTGGTCAGGTTGTTGCTGAAAAAAATAGCCATATAGCTCAGTGGGGACCTTACCTGGTAAAATAAAAACAATTTAGTTCAAAACAAAGTTTAGTTTTAGTTTATAATACATCTGATTCACTGCGGCCAGAGGAGCTCACTGAAGGGGACTGTATCCAGATCCTTCAAGGATCTGTGAGCTCCTCACGCCATCCAGCCTGGTTAATCCCAGGATGGATTGTAGGCAGGCCAGACTAAATGTTTCTTACCAGCGAAGATGTGCCATTAGTGGGGGGGGGGGGGGTCCACGTTTCGCAAGCATAGGAAAGGGAGGGCATGACCGTGGACGAGATGACCCAAAGCTTTGTGTGGAGTGACAGACCAGGTAGCTTCCACACAGCAGCGTAATGCAGCCAATGAAAAGATAATGCCTCTCGACCGATTTGGAGTGAGACATCCGCTGTCAAAACACCATTGGTCAAAAGCACACTGCCCCAGGGTACTGAAACTTATCCACGTTCTATCACCTGCCCCCATTAATTCGTGAGGCATTTGAGGGGGTGGAGCGTTTGATGACACAACATACCAAGGCAGGTGCTTAGTTTTGGGGGGCTCATGGTCCCCATCTCTTAGTGGCATGCTCCAGGTTCAAAGGGTGGGCAGCAATCAACAGACCATCGGCGTACAACGTGGTCGACCACGAGGGAGCCAGAACATCCCTCGACCACACCCAGGGCATCGATCAGCCCACTCATTGTATCTGCTGTAGCAGATGTAAATTCCACTGGTACAGCCACGGAAGTCTTCTCGAACTACGTGGAAAAAGATGTTAGTTAGTGTCGGAGACAGGGGACATCCCTGTACACACCACATGGTGAACATAAGGAATGGGGAGGATACTTCTATAATCAAAGCCTGACGTTCCGTTTGCCCGTCAACTAAATTATGAGAGCCTTTCACAAGGCCTGAATCAAAAGTTAGAAAAAGTTGATCCAACAGTAGTATCTATAAAAAGTTTACCCAATAGTAGTATCTATATAGTCAGTAGTATCTAAATATAGTCAGTAATATCTACTGACTATTGTATGTAGGGTGTGTAGGCATAAAAACCTTACATACAATAGTATCAGTCGTATCTACTGAATCTATACTACATACAATAGAGTCCATATCTATTTTGTAGGCAGGAGCTTAAAACCAGAAAGCTGTAGAAACTCGGCGTTAATCGGTTATTACATTGATGTCTTCACTGGCGCTCCTCAAGAGATGCTCAGATTCACAGGTAATAACCAAACAGATTTACATTAACCCTCCCCCTACTCTGATCTTCGCACCGATAGGTTCACAGTGACGACATCAATTTATTCTATTGAAGACTGAAAACAGGAAGACTTTCTCAGAATTGTGGCAAATCGCCTGATGAAGCTTGTTGTTGTAATCACCAGTGAAACGTCACGGTACATAAATTGTTGTGGTGGGTTTACTCTCCAACACACAACCGGTGTGCTGAAGTAGGAACCAATTGGCACGTTTTGTTACGTTCTGTCGTGTGGTGGTGGGTTTAACGACACATTTATATTTACACGATCTAACCCAAAAACCCCCCCATTCTATTATGAACAGGGAATGGCTCTGACTCACCGTGCAATTGGAAACAACGTGTGCAACTGGGATATGGCATCAATGTTGTTCTAGAAGAATCAGAACATGTATTTATACTCTAGGAATCCGATGAGCTATAAAGTATTTTTCACAGATGTCCAGTAGAAGAGGTTCAATTAACGGAGTGCATCATCACAACCGGAGCTATCGCTGTGAGGGGGCTGTATACCTGTCAACCCATACGGTTTGGGGCCGCCCATAAATGACGTCACGCGATTTTTGACGATTTTTGACCCCCCCCCCTCGTCATACGGCGTCACAAAGTCAGACCCCCTCTCAAATATGACGTCATAAAGCTCTGCCCCCTCCCCCCGCTCCAAAAAAAAGAACATGCTTCAAATCGCTTTAAACTATTGTCATTGTAGTGCGTATTTAATGTGGCGCTGCACTCTGATGTTGGAGGAGAAAATATTTATTAAAAAGTCTATTTAATTAAGTAGAATGTGTTGCCTATATTTATTTAAAGTTGCGCACTTTGATGTGACGTCACATTTCTCAAACCACCCCCCCTCGTCACACATCGTCACAAATGTCTGACACACCCCCTCACCCCAGGTGCGTGACGTCATTTATGGACGGCCCCTTTACCCCGTATTGTTGTACAGGGAAATTTAGTTTATTCAGGTTCACACGGTGTCGCCATTTCAATACAGGCAAAACAAATTGTCTGTTTGTGTTTCTCCCCTGTGATACGACATTGTAGGATGAACGTTGAGATTTATAAGGGTACGGGGGGTGACCAATAAGGTCGTATTTGGTCTGTAATAAGGTAGGGCACTGATAAGGGTTTGACAGGTATGTGGCTGCCTCACTGAGCCGTCTAGGGTTCGCGTCTGAGCGCTTCATCAAGGTGACGACGTCCACCGCCACCAATCCAACGCGCGTCCACGCTGATCAGTTCGTTCAGCGCGCGTCCAGATTGGTGAGTTCATTTAGAGCACGTCCATGTTGATTAGTTCATTTAGCACGCGTCCATGTTGATCAGTTCGTTCAGCGCGCATCCATGTTGGTTGGTTCATTTAGAGCACGTCCATGTTGGTTAGTTCATTCAGCGCGCATCGACGTTGGCGAGTTCATTCAGCACACGTCCATGTTGATTAGTTCATTCAGCACGCGTCCACGTTGATCAGTTCGTTCAGCGCGCGTCCAGATTGGTTAGTTCATTTAGAGCACGTCCATGTTGGTTAGTTCATTCAGCGCGCGTCCACGTTGATCAGTTCGTTCAGCGCGCGTCCAGATTGGTTAGTTCATTTAGAGCACGTCCATGTTGATTAGTTCATTCAGCACGCGTACACGTTGATCAGTTCGTTCAGCGCGCGTCCAGATTGGTTAGTTCATTTAGAGCACGTCCATGTTGGTTAGTTCATTCAGCGCGCATCGACGTTGGCGAGTTCATTCAGCACACGTCCATGTTGATTAGTTCATTCAGCACGCGTCCATGTTGATCAGTTCGCCCACGTGACACCCCCCCTCACGGACAGAGGGAAGGGGTTGGCCCACGTGACACCTCCCTCCCCGGGACACAGAGGCCCCCCCCCCACCCTTCCCCGCGCGAGGCGGAGGGAGAAAAGGGGGGCGGGGGGGTGGTACCCCACGTGACCCCCTCCGACGCCAGAAAAAACGCGGGAAAAGCGAACCGGGAGGGGTCGCGGCGACGTCACTTCCGCTGTACGCGAAGCAAACATTGAGGGGGGTTGCGCGCGCGCGCTGCTGCTGCTGCTTCCACTGCTTCCACCTTCATCGCGACTCGCAGTAACGGGGGGCAGGAGTCCGCGCTCATCCCCCCCCTCTCACCTCGTACGCTCCTACCCCCCCCCCCCCGGGGGGACCTTCCTCGCTTCTCGCCATAGAGCGGAGCTCGGCACTTCCCAGTCCCCTCGCGGCTGTCCCTCACCGCCTCTCTCCCATCGCGCTCTCCTTCACCCCGCGCGCGCGCGCGCTCCGTGAAGTGGAGGAGGGGGGGAGGAGGGGGAGGTTTGGGTCTCCCTCGCCACAACCAAACAACCGAAGTCTCGCGACGCCACGCGAGAGGCGGGACTTGGGGTGCGCGCGCGCGCCCCCCACCCCCTCCCCTCACCTCAGCCTCCTCCCTCTCCGTCTCGAGCATGCCGCCAGTGAAGCTCCGTCACGTGGTGTCGTGCAGCAGTGAGGATCCGGTGAGTGCGGGTCACGTGGTATAGCCTCGCACGCACCCCTCTTAGCCTCACCAGGTTCGTGTGCGCGGGCCCGCCATCTTACCTGGGGAAGCTTCACCTTGAGCGGGGCCGGCCATAGGGATTTGCGTGCGCCCGTGTGCGTGGGCGGCCATCTTACCGTGGGGAAGATTTCGCGTATGCGTGGGACGACCATCTTACCTGGGGAAGATTTCGCGTGCGCCCGTGTGCGTGGGACGGCCATCTTACCTGGGGAAGATTTCGCGTGCGCCCGTGTGCGTGGGACGGCCATCTTACCTGGGGAAGCTTCGCGTGAGCGGGGCGGCCATCTTACCTGGGGAGACACTGTCTCGGTGTAGCGACCTCGATCTGCTTGGGCTCATCAGCAGTTCCCCCGTGGAACGTCTCTCGCGCTGCTGCTGCGAGATTTCCCTATTGACGCGAGGGTTATCGTTAACATCGCAATGCTCCTGCTTTGGCAGCTGTGCACAATTAAAAGACCTGAATCAGAGTAAGTATACTCCAGGATGAATCCGATGAGCTATAAAGCTCTTTTCCACAGATGGTTCAGTAGGGGCGGGTAAGAACGTACACCAACAAGCAATACAAAAACACGACAGTAGCGCAAAGTACAAGGCAAACAAATCACCTAAACCATAAAACTGGAACTAAACCATCCCCATTCTATCAGGCAAAACCCACTGAGCTATTAACTTGTTTTTAAGAAGCAACCTTGCCCATTGTGATAGCTCAACAAAGTGGCTTATCATTTTGACATTTACGGCAGCAACATCTTATTTTGCAAGATAATATTACTTTACTGCCATAAATGTGTCTAAATGTGGAGGGGAAAAGCCGGACGACCCGGAGAAAACATCCACACGACCACGGGAAAAGAGAGACACGCAAACTCTAAATATACAGCAGGCGTCTGGTCGGGATCTCCTACATACCAGGCGAGGAAAATAGCATGACTTCTAATTGGATAATACATTCCAAAGTTTCTGAGAGGCAATAAAACAGCAAAAAAACTAGCAGACAACACCAAGACGAACACACAAGTCCCTCAATCAAATTGTACACACTATGGCCTTAATTTGCCATCTATAAGCGAACTGGAATATACATTCGCCAATACACAAAACAAAACTGGTGACTGTAAAACATTATGTGATTCCCATCACCACATTGGTGTTACATTCCTTCTCTTTGGTTCTTTCGGTAAAGTCACGTAGGTATAAAATAAAATAAATCACGACGTTTCGATTGCAACACGAGCAATCATCATCATCAGGTAGGAAAACCACTTCAGCTAAAATTTTCTTGCTGTGGTTTTCCCACCTGATGATCGGACGCGGGCCACCGCCACTCAACGCTTGGCGAGGCAGCCCCCTCGCACCAGTAGCTCAGGTTGTGATGATGTGCTCCGGGCTGCTGGTCCGCCCAGTAGAAAAGTGCTCTTTTTGGGGGGGGCGGGGATGTGGAGCGTTCTGCCCATTCGGACGTATCCAGGTCATGACACCTGGCAGGGTGCCTCTGTGCTTGTTGCAAGGACAGAGCCAATGGTGATCTAACGTGAGCTGCTGTGACCCGTGGATCCAAAACGTGGGCGTTCGCCGAAATACTTGAAAAGTGTGAAAAGTAGCATGGAGAGATGCACATTTGTAATTAAACCTGAGAGACAAACACCCGATGAAGGCCGCTTGTGTTGTGGCCGAAACGTCGTGAGAATATTGTGTTGTGTTATTTTATTTCATCAATTTATTATTTTATTCTCATTCTACGTGACTTTACCGAAAGAACCAAAGAAGATGAATCCTTGCAGTCACGAAAGCTTTAAATCAAAATTAAACACACCTGAATTAGAGAACACGCAGGGTGGAGACAGACACCACATTGATCTCACTATGTAACACGATTTTGTTCTTGGGTACTAAGTGTTATTTTCTAATTGCTTATGCCTTAAAAGTATAGTATGATTTTACGTGAAGGAATGACACAAATGCACACCACGTTTTCTCATTGTAAAAAGGTCAATTTCAAATTTCACTGTCCTGGTCACAAAAGCAAAGTTTGTGGGGAACAATAGCCATTTTCTGTACTTTTGAGGCATAAGCAATTAAAAAATAACACTCAGTACCCAGGAATTATATTTTTTTTACACAGTGTCTTCCTTCAGCAGTGGAAAGACCATGATGACGATGATCACACTGACAGAGAGGAGGAACACGTGGATTAGAGAGCACACGCAGGGTAGATGCATCACATTTATCTTCATCCAGCAGTGGATAGACCACGATGATAAAAGCATGGAGATAGGCGTGCTTGGAATTACACATGCAGGTAGAGGAACGCATGCATCGTGAGACGAACACAAACCCGAAGACGCTGTGTGTTGGTCTTCATCCTGCAGTGGATAGACCATGGCCGGTGGTCACGATGATTCAGAGTGACTTGGGCCTACCATGGTCTCTCCCTGGTTCCCTTGCCTGGGGAGGTGTGAGGACCAGCGTGCAGGGAAAGCAGGCGAGGCAGGCCTGGCCCCATAGGTTTTTTGTGATCAATATCACGATTCATGGGCCAATATCACGAATAATGGACCACTATCCCGATTCACGGAACAATATCACGATTCACGGAACAGTGTCACGATTCATGACGAATATCACTATTCACAAAATTAATTGGCACGTGTCGTGACGGGCAATGCTTCCGGTTGCCGAATGAACACATGAGGCTGCACTCATTGCACACACAAAGTGCACGCCACAAATGAACCACAATTACCTCGCTGATCTCGTCAAGGAGCATAAACAATCATTATGTGAACTCCAGTCATCCTCACAGCAGAGGCTTTTGGCTGCTCGCCATCGAACAAATACGGTTACCGCATCGCGCGGTGCTTTCAGATGCGCTTCTGCGGCCGTCTGGAACGCTCTTCCGATATTAGGAAGCCATTGGAGGCTATGCAATTTTAAATCACGGAGATTGACAGTAATTTTTTCAAACAGATTTTTGTGTTTAGTGTGGTGTTCTTCCCCCTCCCGCACGTCTGATTAGCACGGTTAGCTTCGTATGGTGCGACATAAGTACAACACACCCAGTCGACCCTTGATTATCTGTGTGCGGTTTATCCAATTTGTGGATTAACCGCGCACCTGAGATTTATAGGTAAATGATTAACTCGTGGATTTTCCCTTAAGCCCGAATGAATAATCTAGTTATACATAATATTCTTAGCTCTTTCGGTAAAGTCACGTTGAAGGGAAACAATAAAATAATAAAATATATATAACAATAAAAATTCTCACGACGTTTCGACCATAACACAAACGGTCATCATCAGGTGTGAAAACCAACGGCAAGAAACATTTGAAAGAAGTGGCGGTTTGCATTTATTTATTTTTAAACGGTGTTTGTGTTTACTTATTAATTTTTTAAAAAACGTTAGCACCACGGGCAGCGATTTGGCAGTTTGTTTAGAAGGACGAGTCCATCTATGTTCTGAAAAGAGGAGGGGGGAGACGAAAAAAAATAATGTATGCTGTCTGAGAGCCACCGTAAGCGTGAACAATCAATTAAGACCTGAAATGGTTTATCAAATCCTTCCAATGATTGCTAAGCCAGAATCCATCTTCTCGGTTGAAATTGTCTCTGTGCTTGTATATGTGGATAGCCTCATGAACGAATCTCTCATGGTAGCCAGATGACTTACAAAGAACCTCTGTCTTGGAGAAGTCAATCTCATGTGAGCCTACTGAATTATAACAATGATCTGCCACGGCCGAGGTGTTGGTCCTACCGTGTTTAAGGTCTGCTTTGTGTTCACGAATGCGGTCCGAGACATGGCGTTTGGTTTCTCCAATGTAACTACTACCACAGAGGCAACTTAGTTTGTAGACACCAGGGTACTGTATGTCCGGAATCACATCTTTTACAAACGGAACCAGATCACGGATTTTATGTAATGTGTTGAAACGGACCTGGATCTTGTGTTCATTTAAGATTGGAGATCTTTTTTGTGATCCCCGCAATGTAGGGTAAAGTGATGGTTTTGAAAGGCTCCTCAAGCGGGTCCTTCTTCATGGTTTGAGTGATAGCTTTGCGGATTGTATAGTCGGAGTAACCATTAGCCTTAAGAGCTTGGTGTACGTGCTTGAGTTCACTGCCTATGTGTTCCTGGTCGGATATGCATTGGGCTCTATGGTACAGAGTCTTGATGAGAGAATTCTTCTGTGATGGATGGTGGTGGGAATTCAGTTTCAGATAAGCATCCGTATGGGTAGCTTTCCTGTGGACAGAGTGGCTCATTGAACCATCAGGTCTCTTTTTTATTAGGACATCCAAAAAAGGTAGCTTGCCATCTTTTTCGACTTCCATGGTAAATCTGAAATCGGATTCCCACCACCATCCATCACAGAAGAATTCTCTCGTCAAGACTGCACCATAGAGCCCAATGCATATCCGACCAGGAACACATAGGCAGTGAACTCAAGCACGTACACCAAGCTCTTAAGGCTAATGGTTACTCCGACTATACAATCTGCAAAGCTATCACAAAAAAGATCTCCAAAATCTTGAATAAACACAAGATCCAGGTCTGTTTCAACACATTATTATAAAATCCGTGATCTGGTTCCGTCTGTAAAAGATGTGATTCCGGACAAACAGTACCCTGGTGTCTGTAAACTAAGTTGCCTCTGTGGTAGTAGTTACATTGGAGAAACCAAACGCCATCTCTCGGACCGCATTCGTGAACACAAAGCAGACC